CCTCCCCCTGCCCCCCCCGCGCCTCGCGAGGACCTTGAGCCTCTTGTCGACCTTCTGCAGCTCGCCGTCCTGCGGCCCACCCCATAGGGGTTTTCAAAGCCGACCCGGGAAGCTATCACGGGCATGGGACGCTTATCTCTATGTAGTCTTCTCTCTTTCCCGCGGAGGAGAGGGGACGAGGGCGCCGAAACGGGGGGGGGCATTGGCCCTGGCAAGGAACAGGCTCCACACCGTCCATTCGTCGCCGATCTGACCTCGGGCGCCCCGCGGACCTAGGGACATTTACGGTCGTCGGTTCCGGGAGGGTACCCTCGTCGTCTTCGTGTCGGTTGGATGCTCTTGTACATCCTGGGGAAGGTACCCTCGAAGGCTCCTCAGTTTGGGCCGGCGCAGGGTCTCACGTTCTTGGAATATGTTATTATGTCCTAGGTCCGACCGAACATGTACAGTCAACCCGCGTAGTAGGGATGAGCGACTTTCCATAGGTTACCCCTGCATCCTTCCCCTTCGGCCCGTCTTTGGCCGCTTTCGCTGGCCGCGCCCCGCTCGCAGAGTGTCCACGTGGCCTTCCGAGGCCCTTGCATCCTCATCGTACGTCATTCTGCTACGGGTTGACTGTACAGGGCAGTTTTTAATACATAGGATTGTTGAAATATAGGATTTGTAATGCATTAATGTATGCATTAATTAATGCATAAACTCATCCTTGCATTTATTAATCAACCCTGTATTCTTAATCCCTGGTCCGCACTGTACAGTATAGGAGCTCGACCACAAGAAACCTTCCGCAAGAAACCCAACCCCGAGGCCCCAGGACGTCCAATAACTTTTGTTGGAAGGTCGCGCTGCCCATAGCAAAACGATCGAAGCCAAAGAAACCTGGGCCACCCTGGAGGCAAGCAGGGTGTTTCTTGGCATGGGCTTCCACTGTACATTGAAAATGTGTGAAATCCGGCGGCGCTGGAGGGTGTCTCGGGCGCCGCGGCCTTCCCAGTGCGTTCCAGAACACTCTGAGAGCGTTCCCGAACGCTCTGGTGATCATTTTTTTGATTCATTATTTTGCCGATCGGCGCGGGCCTCCAACCCTGCCGCCTCCCCCCCCATGGAGTAGATCCTCACTGTTTTTGACGCTTGTTTCGAGCAGGCGGAGTCCATCCCCCATCGGACGCACTGCTGCCAACAGTCGCACCAAGCCGAGGCCCAGAGCCTACCCCCCCCCTCCCCCCCTTCCGCCCAATGTCGGCTACACGCAGGAGTGACCCTGGGTAAGAGTGACCTTTGGTGCGCGACTTTTGGGGGGCCGCGGGGGGGCCAACCCTGGGCGCGCAAGCAGCTGCTGCCGCCTCGTGTTTGGCCGTCCAGGGACCCATCTGTGCCCGCACCAGAGGTCACTCCAGCGAGAGGTCACTCTTACGTCTAGTCGACAGTGTCGAGACGCCGCATAAGAAACGCTCACCCGGCACGGCTTTGGCCTCGTCCTGCCTCCGTGCGAGGACCCAGCGCTGACCAGGAGGAGGAGGACGAGGAGGAGGAGGAGGAGGACGCGTAGGAGGAGGACGCGTAGGAGGAGGAGGAGGAGGAGGAGGAGGAGGAGGAAAGAGGAGGAGAGATGAGGATGAGAGATGAGGAGGGATGAGGAGAGGAGGGGAGGAGGAGGAGGAGGAGGAGGAGGAGGAGGAGGGGCAGGAGTAGCTGAACGAGAAGGATGAGGAGGAGGGTGGGGAGCTGAAAGAGGAGGAGGAGGACGCGTAGGAGGAGGAGGAGGAGGAAAATGAGGAGGAGGAGGAGGAGGAGGAGGAGGAGGAACAGGAGGAGGAGGAAGAGGAGGAGGAGGAGGAGGAGGCGGAGGAGGCGGAGGAGGCGGAGGAGGAGGAGGAGAGGGAGGAGGAGCCCGAACGGCTGCTGGAGACCTGAGTTATGGCCCGAAGCCAGCACGACCCTTCGACGCAGAGGGCGGGAAGGAGGGGGTTTCGGCTCCTCATGGATTCCAAACCTGAGTCAGTTGAGCAGGGACCGACCGTCCTGGCACCCGTATAGGTCTACCACGACATGTTATTCGAAGCCAGCAATGCTCTAAACACACAAAGTCCCTAGACTATAAACCCGATGTGTTAAAACGAGACCGTCTCAGCCAGGAATGCTCTGGGAACATGTCGCGCAGACCACAAGAAGGTTATCAGAGCAGTATGTCGGTGGGTCTCTGGGCAAGCCAGGCCGCTCCGCCACTGCTCGAGCCAGACAGGGTCGGAGGTGACTGCCTGACCTCAGTTAGAGATGAGCACAATCGTGGCGTTAAGTCGGGCCTGTCCCCATACAGGGGGATTTTCGGCGAAGAACAAAATACCCCCCAAAATAATAATAATATAAAAACAATCCAGAAATAGTATGGGGACTAGTTTTCAATACGTTTTGACCACTTTGGAGCAGTTTTGGAGTATGTATTAATTATAGTCGAAAGTCCCCCTGTAGGGGGACAGGCCCGACTTAAGAGTTGGGCGCTTCCCCGTCCGTGGCTTCGTGCATCTGCTTCACCCGCCGGGCGGTCTCTTCGAGCTCGCTGCTCCTCTCCGCGAGCGTCGCCCTGTCCTGCGGGAAAGGATGGAGCGAGACAAGTTTTTTGTTTTAATTATTATGTTTGTTTTATTGTGTTTTTAGGATGGCGCGAGAAAAGTGGGAAGGGAAATTGGGTTCAACACCCCGTCGCCACCCAAAAGACCAGCCAACGGAAGGCTGGCAGCGGGCTCACCGCTGCGGAGGGGGAAATGCTGGCCTGGAGAGCGGCCCTACCCAGAGGAGACGGTAATGATGGTATTCAGACGCTGGGGGCAATTTCAATGCCAACCATAGGTCCGTTCGTCTGCTAGCTGTGGTGTGCATGCCGACCTTCACACAATGCAAGCAAGCCAGCGTGAGCGGCACGACAAGGAGGAGGGTGAACCTGCTCACAAGACCGTTGACGGCCGTTCCCAAGCTGTGACACCTGCACCTCAAACGAAACAACACGGACCTGTTCGAGTACGATGACCACACGAATACTGGCGAGATGCATGTCGCCTGGAGTTTCTGGGGCAAGGGCTTGGGGGTGGCCTAGTGATAAAGCGTTTGCCGCGAAGACACACGGCGCATCGTCGAAGCCCAAACCAGCACGCGTCCACCCTCGCTGGGTGAGCGTTCGGCCACTGGTGCAGAAGACCAGCAGCCAGCTTCGAAGAAACACGTGCGCGCGCAACTTCGGCACGAAATGCGTGGAGCAACTGCGTCTCTGGAACGCATACGAAAATAGTCCTTCGAGAACATGAGAGCCTCCACCGGCTAAACTGAAGAACATTGGACTGTACCCTCCCCAGGATGCACAAGAGCATCCAACAGGCACGAAAAACATCGGGGTACCCTTTCCGAACCGACCGCGCTCTCATGCATCGATCCGACCGTCTTCCAGGACTGCAGCGGGCCAGGGCTGGCGGAACGGCAGCGGTCGGAGCACACGAAGGGCAGAGATGTGAGGCGACATGCGCTCGCAAGACCGCGCCGCAGCGAACGGGTGGGCCCCCCCTGCCCCCCCCCCCCCCTGGCCTCGCCAAGCGCGGGCCACGCAGGTGACTCTGGCTGACGTGGGACGCCGAAATGGTCCCACCCGCGCGCTTGTCGTCGAAGCCGACACCAGGTGGCCACCTGGGAACAAAACTCCCACCAGAAGCGAGGGGGGAAAACCGCCCGCCATCAGGCGGGCTTCGGTTTGAGACCCCCTTTCCCTTCGCCACTGCATTTGTCACCGCGGCCACCGCCTGCGCTCGCTTGGGGCGCCCTGGAAAGGTCCCCGCCGCCCGAACGGCTGTGGGCCCTGTGGCCGCCAGGGAGTGCACCGGCGGGCATTTCGGGAGCACGAGGGGCTTCCAAAAACAGGCGGACTCTTGAGACGCCATGAGCAACCAACTCCGCCAGAGACATGACCAGATAGAAGCCGGCAGGACGGGCGAAAGAAACAGATGCGCGACCGAGGGCAATTGTGTAGCGGATGCAATCTTGATGCGCGCAGGCTGCCACGAGGTCGCAAGTTAGGGGGCGACAAGCGTGGGCGGCACCTGCGCCATCATCATCAGCATCGTGACCCGTGTCAGAGCCACCAGCACCAGCGCTACTGCGAATCGTTGCCACCAACATCCTCACCACCACATTGCGGTAAGCATCACCATCACCATCGCCATCATCGGCACCATCATCGCCATCCCCGCCACCAACAGAATTAGCCACCACAACCATCGCAATCACCGTCATCTTCATCAACGCCATCAAAGCCACAATTGTCATCGCCGCAGACCAAGGGTTTCGCTGGAGCTCAGAGACCTTGAACCCGAAGGAGGGAGCAGAGTCCGGGGCGGCGCGACGAAGGGACGAGAAAAAAGAGACCGCGCGCGCTGGCCACTGCTGGTTTCCCCTCCCCATCGGTGCCCTGTTGCCTCCCTCCTTCCTCCCCACTATCGTCACTGCCACCATTTCACCATGTGTGTGAGGGAAGGGTCGCCCGAAGGGCCGATCCCCTCCCGAGCCTCAGCCCATGTAGGTATAAACGGGGAAACCAAGAAATACCGATACCGCTACTCCCCGGACCTCTCCCAGGATGCGTTCTGACCAGGACTTCGAGGCGAATCCAGCGGTGGCGACGAGGGCCTCCGAGGCCAAAAAAGGGAAAAACGAGGAAAGGGCAGAGGCATGGGTACCTTTTCCTCCTCTGAGTGAACGAATGACTGGCATCGGGGGCGCGCAAGCATGGATTACCGATCCATGGATTTGGCGCGCGGTCTCCAAATCCATGGATCGGGGGAGGTGCCCTCCCCAAAGTGCGGCTGGTGCCGCCTCGCTCGACGGCGGAAATCCGCGATGTCCCACGGAAACGGAACCAGTCGCTAATTCACGCCCTCTTAATACATGTTGGCGATCGCCTGACTCCAGCTCCTGCGGTTTCTTGTCAAGTCCTGTTGCTCCTCCCGTTCCTCCGTCCCCCTCCCCTCCTTTTGTCGCGACTCCTCCTCCCCCTCGTACTTCTTCTTTAGATGCCCATGCCCAAGTCAGCGACTCCTCCTCCTCCTCCTCCTCCTCCTCCTCCTCCTCCTGCTCCTCCTCCTCCTGCTCCTCCTCCTCCTCCTCCTCCTCCTCCTCCTCCTCCTCCTCCTCCTATTCCTCCTCCTGCCACGCCACCCCTCGCCGAGCCGCCGCCGCGCCGCGCCCGCAGGTCCTGCTCGCGGGCGCCTCCCGACCACCCGGCTCTGGAGAGCACGCACTGGGCCATGGCCAAGAAGGGGGATAACGAGGAAAGGGTACTCCAGATTTCGTAGTAAAGGGAGGGGGTCCCAACCCTCCCAGACGAGAAGTTTTAGACCCCCCCCGTGGGAGAACCCTCCAAAACATCGACCCCCCCAGGCCCTCCAAGATAGCCTGGAAGAGACCCCCCCCCGAAATGAGACCCCCCTCCCTTTATTACAAAATCTGGAGTAACGAGAAAAGGGTAGAGGTGTACAGTCGGGGCCCTGAAGAAGGAACCCTTTTGGTCGGGGAGGGGCTCCGCTTTCCTTAAGTGTTTCACAGCTTGCCTCAGGTGTTCCTTGTGCGTTCGATAGGAAGTCGAAGCTTAACTTATAGAAAAAAGGGGCCTCGTTCCTTATTTAGGGTTCCTTAGGTCAACGCCCCGACTGTAGAGGTATGGGTACCTGTTCCCCCCTCTGAATTTCACGAATGACTGACAGACGGGGGCCTCGTACACGCCACTCCGCGCCGACCGCCGCCGCCGCCGCCCGCAGTCAGCGACTTCTCCTCCTCCTCCTCCTCCTCCTCCTCCTCCTCCTCCTCCTCCTGCTCCTCCTCCTCCTGCTCCTCCTCCTCCTCCTCCTCCTCATCCTCCTCCTCCTCCCCCTGCCACGCCACCCCTCGCCGAGCCGCCGCCGCCGCCGCCCGCAGCTCCTGCTCGCGGTGCCTCCCGACCGCCCGGCTCTGGAGCACGGACTGGGCCATGGCCACCGCCCTGTGCGCCGGCGCACGGGCGCGGCGGGCCGCCTCCTCCCCCCTTTCGCCTCGTCCTCCTCCTCCTCCTCCTCCCCCCTCGCCTCCCTCCTCCTCCTCCTCCTCCTCCTCCTCCTCCTCCTCCCCTCCTCCTCCATTCCTCCATTCCTCCATTCCTCCATTCCTCCATTCCTCCGTTCCTCCAGTCCTCCATTCCTCCTCCTCCTCCTCCTCCTTCTCGTCCTCCCCTTCGGTCTGTCGGCCGGTCGGCGGAGCGCAACGACGTCTGAACGCCTGGTTGCGAGAGAGAGAGAGAGAGCGAGAGAGAGAAGCGAGAAGACCAGAGGGCGAAGACCAAAGCAAAGAAGCAGCAGGGAGGGCCAACGAGGGGATGCCACAGCCCCCCGCGCCACAGCAGGCACGGGCCCCATCTGGCAGCGGACGAGCCGAGGGCGCTGACGTTGAAAATGGATCGCATTCTCATTTTCCTCCTTTTCCTCCTCCTTTTCCTCCTTTTCCTCCTCCTTTTCCTCCTCCTCCTCCTCCTCCTCCTCCTCCTCCTCCTCATCATCATCATCATCATCATCATCATCATCATCATCATCATCATCATCATCATCATCATCATCATCATCATCATCATCATCATCATCATCATCAGCATCAGCATCATCATCATCATCATCATCATCATCATCATCATCATCATCATCATCATCATCATCATCATCATCATCATCACTCTCCTCATATTCCTCCTCCTCTTCCTCCTCCTCCTTTTCCTCCTCCTCCTCCTCCTCCTCCTCCACGTCCTCCTCCTCTATTTCCTCCTCTTGGGACCCAATGGAGGCCCCAACGGGGTGCTCCCCGCGTGGTTCCCGCGGAGTCGGGCCAGAACTGGGTTTGGGCGAATCCCGCCAGCCCTGTTGGCGTGACGGCTTAACAAGCGAATCATTTACTCAAGCATCTCTTTCGAGAAATGGTTTGCCACTGCTCCCTTTCAGTAAACGCCCCATGTCCCACTTGTCAGGCGACCGACCAGGGACAACGTCGACCCCCCGACCTCGAACATGCAAGACGACACAACCCATCGCGCTGCGCGGCAACATCTAAATCTTGGTCGGGCGCCCCCACGCTCACCGCGCACTGTTTGACGAGGGCGGCCAGGAGGCAGCCATGCTGCCCGCGGCGCGCACACCCGCCGCCCTTTGCAAAAACAAATGCGAACCGATTGCGAGTCCAAAAGCACACACACACACAACGTGCGGGGGCGCGCAGACATGGATTAGCGATCCATGGATTTGGCGCTGCCATTGCCGCCCCGCTCGGCGGCGGAAATCCGCGATTTCCGATAGAAACGGGACCCGTCGCTAATCCACGCCCCCTTGGTCCATGTTTGAGATCGCCTGAAACTTATTCTCAAACGCGCGCGAAGGAACCCGTGTGGCGCGGAGGGGGAGGGAAACACGAGGAGGGAACAAGGCACGGCGGCGCACGCGCGACCGCGACGCGTCGAATCCACGCGTTCATCGCGCGCCCTGGGCCGCTCCTCCACGCGCCCCCGCATAGCGTCAGGTCGGGCATGTCCTCCTCCTACAGGCGGACTTAACTGGAAGAAAAATGAACAATCGTGACAAAGCAAACAGGATCAACAATAATCGCAAAATCAGCCCCTCATCTTTATTGTCTGACAATTTTAAAAAATCCTCCTGTAGAGGGACATGCCCGACTTCGGCACAGCGGCGCGCCACGCGGCGTCGGCGCCCCCGGCGCGCGCCGGCGGGAGGAGCGCTGGCAACCACGCGGCTGCCCGCGGCAGGGGCGGCGCGCGCTGCGCCCCCCCGCGGGGCCCCGCAGCCGCAGCGGAGGCAAGCTGCCCCAGCGGGGCCCCTGCGAGGCCGCGCGGCGGCAGCACGCATCGCGCAGGCGCACGCGGCGCCTGCGCCGCTGCTGCCCCTCGTGGCCGCGGCGCGGGGGCCGCGGCGGCGGCCCTGGCCGCGGGTGGGGCGGGGCGATGGCGGCGGCCACGGCCGCGTCGTCCGCCGCCCGGGGTCGCCGCCTCCCTGGCCGCCGGTGCGGGCGGGGCGCCGCCAGACGCCCCTGCGCCCGTGGGCCACCGCGACCGTCGCCGCCGTGGTTGGACTCGGGGCCGCCAGCCCCAGCTCGGCCAGCATATTCAGCAAAACGTTGTCAACGCGTGCAAGGGGGCCGCACGTCCGCCGCGGCATGCCTTGCGACACCGGATGGCCTTAGACAGCCGGGGATCAAGACAGTAATATGAGATCGAGAAAACAAGGAAAAAGTAGTTTTCCGAGATAACTTAAAGTAGCTTCTGCTTAGCTCCCGAAGCGACGGGAACGCGCGCGCGCGCGGGACGGACAACGTCGAACCCGCGGCGGCGACGCGCCAAATCAAACAACGGCACCGCGCGCCAGTAAATCAACAAGGAATGCCGCGCGGGTTCTGCACGCGACGCCGCGGCGATGGTCGCGGCGCGGTTTTGCACGCGACATACCCCAATGCCTCTTCCACATTTCCCTCCCCAGCCCCTTCACCAGCCTTCCACTTCCTCGTCTCGGCCCCTCCTCCTCCTCCTCCTCCTCCTCCTCCTCCTCCTCCTCCTCCTCCTCCTCCTCTTTCGCCCGACCTCCCCCTCCTCTACCCGTCGCGCGCCCATCTCGCCGTGCCGCGGCGGCGCCTTCTCATGCAGCGAGCCCCTCGCCCACCTTTCCCTCCCCATCCCCTCCGCCGTCGTTGTCTTCCTCCGCCGCCCCCGCCCCCACCTCCTCCTGCTCGCTGCTCGCCCCCTTTCCCTCCTCGCCCTCCCTTTCCCCCGCCGTCCTCTCCTCCTCCTCCTCCTCCTCCTCCTCCTCCTCCTCCTCCTCTCCTCCTCCTCCTCCTCCCTCATCCTCCCTCCCTCCCCTCCTCGTCGATCCTCCTCCTCCTCCTCTCCTCCTCCTCCCCCCCCCCTCCGCGCGCCCGCCGCCCGCGCCGGGCCCGGCCGCGCTGGCGCGACCCGGCCGCGCCGAAACGTTTCACCGTCGGCCTGGCCGCGCCGGCGCGCCAGTATATGATTGGGCCCAGCGGCGCCGGCGCGTTTCGCAAATCGGGCTGGGGCCGCGCCGGCGCGCTTTTCAAACCCAAGCCGGCCGCGCTGGCCCCGGCGGGCCCCGCGGCCGCCGCAGGTCCCCTCTGGCCAGCCGCTGACGGGCCCGGCCGGGGGGGCCCCCGGCCAACCCCAGCGACCGGCCGGCGGGCCCGGGGGCGCCCCAGCGAGCCAACAAGGATTCCAATATAGCTTTTTAAAAAATAGTTTGGTTGTAGTTTTTTCTAGCTTGAACACGCTTGTTGTAGGTAAACGTACGTTTTCTATGCAGATTGTTCTGGCTTTCGGCTAGCTTTTGGCAGTTTCCAAGTAGCTCCGGGAAGTAGTTTTTTTGCCCCCCCCTCCGGGGGCATTCCGGGCGCCAGGAGATAGGTTTTAAGTAGCTCCAAATAGCTTTAAAGTAGTTCGGACTAGCTTGCAAGTAGCTGTTTTCACCCCCCCTTTCGGCGGCCCGCGCGCGGGAGTTCCGGGCCAAGCGGCGCCGGCGCGCTTTGCGAATCTGGGCCTGCCGCGCTGGCGTGTTTTATAATTTCAAGCGGGGCCGCGCCGGCGAGCTTTGCAAATCCGGGCCCGGCCGAACCGGCGCGCTTTGCCCGTCCGGGCCCCGTCGCGCTGGCGCGCGCAAACTTGGGCGCCGCCGCGCCAGCGCGTTTTGCAATCCGCCCGGGCCGCGCCGGCGCGCGCAAACCTGGGCCGGCCGCCAGCTCGCGCGGACCCCGGGCCCGCTGGAGGCCCGCCTGGCCGGCCGCTGCGTGGCGGGCCCGCGGGCGGCGCTCTCTCCGAAGGCCCCAGCGGCCCCCTGGCGGGCCCGGGGGGCACCCCGAATTTGCTTTCTGCGAAATAATTTCCCCTCTCCCGCACGAGGTTCCAGATTTGCACATCTTAACTGCATGCTGGCCTGGCGGACGGGGCTCCGCCACTTGCTCGGCCCCGATCAAAAAGTTGCAACCAGCTGAAAGCGCCGCGCGTTATGGAATCCGCGGGCCGCCCTGTAGACTACAAGAAGACGCCGGCGCTGCGACCCTGCACTCACGGCCCCCAACACTACGCGTTTGTTTCGGTAGCGCGGCCCCGCGGCTGCGAACCTCAAGTCGCGCGGCGCAGCGCAACGCGCCCGGAATGACCGCGGCAATGATGGCTGCAGTGCGACACATTCGCAGCGCGCGTCCTGATCAACCCGCAAATTGACATTGAAATGCTATGTCTGCGCAGGGAGAATTATTTCCTACGTGAAACTGCTTGAAACTACTTCTTCCTAGTTAAAGCTATTATTTCCGACTTTTTCTAAATGGGACAACTACTGATTCCTACTTTTTTTCTATCCCATATTGATCGTTGTGACAAGGCTCTGCCCAAGTCTCCTGCGGAAGCCCCGCGCTGGGCCGCTGCTGCTGCGTCGAGGGTCGAGGTGACCTTCGACTCACCGCGCGACGGCGAAGCCCGTCCGGCACTCGGACTTCCAGGAAATCCCACAGGCCTGAGTGCGGCCAGTCGCGCGGCGGGGCGCCATCGCGGAACGCCACCGTGCCATTCCGCACATACTGAAGGGGACCTGGGACACACAAATAAATACACACAAATAAAAATATTCCCCATATTTCCACATATGTTCTGGGTTCCTGTCTTCCCCCCCACTTCCCATATGTTCCAATATTTTCCTGGGAGTGGACGATTAATCGTGTCTGTGTGTGTTTTTTTCCCTCCTGACATACCGCGAGTCCGTGGTGACCTCCACGGGGGATGCTTCCGGGTTGACCGCGCTCTCAGAGCCGCGGTTAACATCGTGTTCGATGCGCCGCTTGCGCGCCGTCGACCGGCCGTGGCCCCACAACCGGGCCCCAAGGGATCCCGAAGACTGGCCCATAGGATTCTAGAACAGTCCCCAGGCGGTCCACATGAGCTCCATGGCAGCTCTTCGAGAAGCGAAGGCGAAAGGTGCCACGTGTGACGGCCCTCCTCTTCCCCAACCCTGCTCCCCCTCCTCCTCCTCCTCCTCCTCCTCCTCCTCCTCCTCCTCCTCCTCCTTTTTCTCCTCCTCCTCCTCCTCCTCCCCCTCCTCCTCCTCCTCCTCGTCCTCCTCCTCCTCCTCGTCTTCCTCCTCATCCTCCCTCAACGTGCTCATCGCGGCTCTCCCACGCTTGAACCCACAAGGTGTCATGTGTGACGGCCTCCCGTGCCCCCCTCGAACACTCGCCCCCAACTAAGGCTGAGCTGGAACGGCGGCGGGACTTGCCGCTGGCAGCTGGACACCTGACGGTGAACCTGCTCGGGCCGCAGGCGGTGCCGGCTCGCAGCAGCACCACGGGAGACTTGCGAAAGCAAGCCCAGCACACGGCAACAGGAAGCACACCGCCTCCGAACCCGCAGGACAGACCGAACAACAAACGGGACAAGATGGCTCTCAATTCTCGGGGGCGGAGGCTGGGGCTCCCTCGGTTTCGACTGGCGCAGGCCTCCCTCGAGTGGACGACGACGACGACGACGACGACGACGACGACGACGACGACTCGTTTGACTCGTTTGACGCTGCCTTGGTAAGCACAGGGCGGCCTGGCAGTGCGTTCCTATCAGGTTAAGTGAACTACTGCTTGTGCCATGATGTACGACGCGCTACCCATGCAGATCTTAATGAAGCCCAGTCCTCGCTGTCCCACGTGAGATGTATCCGATCCTGCCCGAATGCTCGTGTAAATTGTTGTTCCCACCGCCCACGACGACGACGGCGGCGACGACGACGACTTTGACGACCCTGCCGCGACCGACGCCGCGGCCTCGACTCCGAGGCGGCCGGCGCAGCCGCAGCGCTCCCCTCGAAGGACAACGCCACCGGGGCGACGGCCTCGGCCGAAGGGTGCCGTCCGGCCGCCGCGCCCGCGCACACAATAAGGGAGGGCCCCAGGAAGAAAGGCGTCTGGGGGGCAAGGAGGAGGAGGACCCTGACCTTGACGAACGAACAGCACACACCCATACCCATAATGGGGGTCGTTGGGAGGGGGACTGGCTATGGGTATGGGTGCGGGTTGTCGGACCCTGGGGAACGCTCCCGTTCGAGCGGGGACCCCCATCCGACAACACGTACCCATAGCCCTCTCCGATCCCCCTATGGGTATGGGTGTGTGTTGTTGGTTCGTCAAATCTAGGAATCAGGGAGAGGGCACTGGGGCTCTCTGGCTCTGGGATGAAGGAGCCGTTGGATCAGGAATCGTGGGTCTGGAAGCTCGTCGTCGTCGTCGTCGTCGTCCGTCATGGTTGGCGGCACCAGCCGTGGGGCCTTCACACAGTCGAGGGTCTGGCAGCTGGTGGAACTTTCATCTCGGATTGGCCATGGATACCACTGCCGCCATCACCAGGTAAGGACCCCCCCACGGGGTCTGAGGCCTCCTGGGCACACTCTTAACCCACGCCCCCACCGTAGGACCTTTCCTGCCTCCTTCGCGCCTGCAAACATCACGTGGATCACAGCAGCGCAGCTCCGTACCGCCGCAACCGTGGGGGACGAAGAAGGACCCTCTCGCCACCAGGAGCGCTCTTCCCCACCCTGAGACAGGACGGGGGAGCCTCCCCTCATAATTCCAGGGCTAAGACTAGGCGCGACGAAGGCAGTCTTGGGGAGCTGTAGGCCCGGACGGATGAGGAGGATAAAGAGATTGCAAGCTAGCTCTTTGGCAACGCCGGGGGGACAACTCTGGGCTGATCCTGGATCGCTGTGGCTTCCTGTGCAGACCCACCGACGTGTCCAATACAATCCTGTTGCTCCTCGCCCGTCTCCTCCCGTTTCCTCCCCCTCCTCCTCGCCCTCCCTCCTCCTCCTCCTCCTCCCCCGCCTCCGCTTGCTCCTCCTCCCCCTCCCCTTCTCCCTCCTCCCCCTGCCGCACGCCGCCATCGAAAGGCGTTACCACTCCCTCGAAGCACCTCGCGGCCGAGCCCAGCGTTATGGCCGTCGCTCTACGCCATCACCAGACCCACGCAGAAACTCTGCTATTTGCATGGCATGGGAAGAAAGAAACATGTAAACCACACTCTCGCTGCGGACGGAGTAGGGATACTTGCCACAGGGGCGAAATGGAGGAGCAGATAGCCAGACAAGGTCCGACCAGAGAGAACTGTTGGAGGTCTGGGCTATCCCCGCAAGTAAGGCCGATCGGCCAAGTGCCGTAGCACACTCAAGGATGACGGTGCTCGCGCCTGTCTGGTGAAGCTCTGGTTGCGCGAAGAACGTCTTGCTCACCGCCGGGCAAGTCGCGCGCAGAACGGTGTTGAGACCACGTATCTGGCTGGCCTCACGCAGTCGGAAGTCCTGGGGAGGAAGAAGCCCTGATGTCCCCTGTTCCGCACGGCATGGCGTGTGCGAGCAGTGGACCGAACTCCTGGCCAATGATATCGAAGAGGTACCAGTCCAGCTCGTCCTCGACCTCCGCCTTTTCTTGACCTTCTCCACCATGTCCTCCTATCCTTGTCGTTCTGCAACTTCCTTTCCCCAGCCGTCTGGGCGTGCAGTTTTGTGGCCTCCTGCTCTTCCCCCCCCTCCTCCTCCTCCTCCACGGTTTTCTGGGACTCCTCGACGTCGGCGACGAGTCTCGTTGCCCGTACCTGGCCGCCACAAAGCAGGCGTATCAACTACCACATCAGCACAGCAATTCTTCGGCGAGCTGAGATGACTATGAAGACAGACGACGAGGACGACCACGAAGAACCAGAGATGCAGCCTGCATTGGTATTACATGGTGCTGACGTGCCAGTTCCAAAGCTCACTACCAAGCAGATCCTGCTCCCGCGTGCGTTCCTCCAAGGGACGACAATCACGGGCCACAGGTTGCACTACATCACGAACAATGCAGCACGCAACTATTGTACCTCTTGTGGTGCGAATGATGGAGACATGCGGATAGTTGGTTGGAATGCCCACACTGGGAACATCAGCGAGAACCACAGACACGCTCGAATGCTCAATAGTTTCTCAAATCGCTGCCAAAGTGTTTGAGGCAGTGTGGACATAGACCAGACATGAAGGAGTACGATACGATGCCTTTGCAGCGGGACTACTATCTGATGAACCTTGCCTTCCCCCACCGCCCCACCATGCTGACGGACAGTATGAGATTGGACAGGGCGAAGACAACGTGACGATGATCAAAGATGGCTAGATGGGTGTGGCGGGGGATGGATCGTGCCCTGGCCAAGCCACAGACCTCCGCCTCCAGCGGCCTGGCTACTCTCTGTACTACGGCGAAGGACGCGAGTGGAATATGGATATGCGCCTCCTCAGCGTATCACAAGCTGCACCGCGGGCGGAGGTTGCAGCGTTAGGCTACTATGTGGATTGGTCGTGGGGGAAACAGCTTTACCTCACAGACGACAGCTATTGTGTTCGCCAATTCCAGAGCCTGCTCAGGGGTGAGAAGATCCGCCCCAAGCAACATCGAGAGCTTTGGGGGGCGATTGCGAAGGCAGTCGAAGCTCAAGGTCCAAGCAGTTTCAAGGTTGAGACAGTGTGAACACACAGAGGGTAGTCGGACATCACAGAGGACGAGAGACCGACGTGGGAGCGTTACAGACATGCAGATGCAGGAGCTGCGCGCACATCACGGCGAAAAGAGGCCCCCGCGGAGGTGCGCCAGCAGCACGTCAAACACCAACGCCTCTGCTACATGATCCAGCACCCTGCCACGGTGATCCTGACCTTGAGGGCGGAGGCCATTGCCACCCTGGGGAAAGGAAAGCACGGCGGACCATGCGAGCAAGCACGTGCGATGCAACTTGCGATGCCAAACAACATGATATGATACACCACGACGAGGACGACGAGTACGCCCCGTGGCAGCGTCAAGATCTGGATGGACATGATATTCGACCCCCTCGTCTACCTCCATCTCCGCCATGGACCACCGTCGCACTAGTGGCGGGAAGAAGAATGAGAAGGAAGGGACCGCAAGCGTCAGCATCATCAGCAACCACCACCACCACGAGCACGCCCACACCTACACCCTGCGAAATGCGTAAGAAATCATGGGTTAAGAAATTCATGGTCTCAGAAATTGAATAAAACCCAGAACTTCTATCAACAAATCTTGGGATTTACATTGAAAGGTTAAGAATAATCGAGACTTTGGACGAAAACTTAGGTTTTCTTAAACATCGCCTAAGGTGTACCTCAACACCAGCGGGTGACAGTCTTCCCCCCTTGTTGCATCGGCCTCGGAAGCCAGTGGCTCATCTGACCCTCCAGCTGCTACAAGACGTCTGCTCGTGCCGGCAGGCATTTCCGGAATATGAATGGGACCCCCTGGCGCCGAATGTCATGCCGACGCTTGCACCTATGATTCTCACCAAGCTGGAGTTTGAGCAATTGCGGTATCAGCAGAGCCTCCTCTATGGTGGTGTCATCACTTGAGGTGGAGAGTGCATGATGCAGAGATGGCTCCGTTGTCGTGTCCCTCGGTTGAGAATGCAGTGGACTCTGTTACTGCTACTGTCCCATCACTGGTCACGCCTGAGGAATCCATGCAAGAGCCAACTAGTGAGAGAACGGCCCGCTACCTGTCCACAACTGTTGCAAGTGATGGGCGACTTTGCACATGTGCAAGGGGACCGAGGGAGACCCACAAGGAGGTCAGAGCGCTCATCCCGTTCGGACTTCGTGCGGCTGCTGGGTTCACATGCAAACCAACGTTCGTCAACCACCAACACGACCACGACATGAGGATCATGCACTCACTAACGCTGGCGACGACCGACAAGACGAATTGCTTGAGAGTTGCACCCGATTGGGAGCGGTGCCCAAGCCCATCTGGCAAGCACGTAAACGCCAGCCCAGCATCAGAGACAATGTGAAACCTAGTGGTCTGGTTCATAAAGCGACGATGGCGACATCTACCCTAAAAATACCCCAAGAAGGTCAAACATACTTTTTTTGGGGGGGTATGTTTTATTTTCCGTCGAAAATCCCCCTGCAGGGGGACAGGCCCGACTTAAGGCAGGCTCCTCCGTGGCTGCCGAACGTCAAGCAAAAACAGAGCATCACCATCTACCAAACGGTGAGCAGCCCATGCGAACAGGCACCAAGTAATGACAGGTTCGTGCCGTGTCGACTTCGGCGTTGGTTCCGGACACCGCGGGAATCGTTCAGCCTTAAAGGATCGGCCGCCTCCGAAACGTCCAAATCGTTCCACATCGCACGACTCTGGGTCGCCCGCGGCGTTCAGCGTTGAACGCCGCTGGCGGGGTCGCCGCCGGCCGACACGACACGAAGCTGCCGTAGTGGCAGCAAGGAGTGCCACTGCGATCAGGAACGCAGTGGCGGCCATTGCTGCAAGGGCCGAACGGCAAAGGTGGAGCTCAGCTGCGGGGCTCAGCTTGCGCGAGAAATGCGGCTGTGGCAGCCGAGACTGTCGGCGTGCGCAGGCAGGCAGTGGCATTCAGTGCTGCCGGTGCCCGGAGGCGGAGCAGGCAGAAGTCATCGGCATCATCGGCTACAATGCTGGGGTCTGCTCGTGGAGCAGCAGACACCATGGCCGAACTACCGCTGCGAGGAGGCAGGCAGGGGCACCTATTGACGTCGCTGCCCGAAGAAGGTGCAGGAAACTGGCACAAAAAGCAGGAAGTGGCAACAAGCGCTTGCGGTGCCCGAAGGCGAAGCACAAGGGAACATCACCAGCTGCAGTGCTGGGGAGACGTCGTGCGAGAACGCAGGCAGTGGCAACAGAGATTGTCGGCGGCGACGGCTGGCAGGAGCAGCAGGTTGCTATCGGTGCTCAAAGCAAAGCACAGGCGATGCAATACCATCTACAATGCTGAAATCAACGCGTGCTGGATGGCAGGGGTGGCTGGTCGGGCGCGAAACGGCACGAGGAACGGGATTGCAAGCACGCCTGCAAGAGAGCTGGGGCGCAGCGCCATCAAGTACATCAGCCGTGTTCGGTTTGTCGGCCTGGGTGGACTTGCATGGCACGCGAAAGCCGGTGTGTTTGCTCGTCCTTCCCTCGTTCGACACATATCCCCAACCATATCCTCCCCCTGCCCCCTCCACCAGTTCCTCTGTTGCTCCGCGGTCGCCAGCGAAACACCGCGGCGTCCAAATGCGGTAACCAGCGCGCCGGCCAGGCTGCCAGGCCAGGTGCAAACGGAGCGGTGGAGCTCCCTCGACGAGGCGCACCCCAAAGCCCAACAAGGAGGCAGCTCACGCGCTCGCGGAATCGGCGGACCGACGACGCCGACGACGACGACGACGCCGACGACGCCGACGACGACGACGCCGACGACGACGCCGCCGCCGACGGCGACGACGACGACGACGACGGCGACGACGACGACGACGACGGCGACGACGACGACGCCTCGACCCCTCGGGCTCTTGGGCGGAAGCCGCTGGGCCGCCCGCGTCGCCGCGGCCGCTGCCGTCGAGAGGCTGCCCCGCCGGACTGGCGGCGCCCGCGGGGCTCAGCGCGGGGCTGTCGAGGTCGTCGGCGAGGTCGTCGGCCATCCTTGGGAGGAGATAATTACCCAGACCCCCTCGCGCTGTGAAATGATCCTGGCGAAGGACCCAACCATACGCAGTTGTGGGTACCGCAATTGTGAATATCGTCTCCGGTGAAACTCCCTATGGGGCCACGAAGCGCTGCACTGGGTGGGGGGGAGCGCTGTACTGCGTGGGTGGTGTGTCAAGTAAGGTTTCCGGGACGCACGCGGACGGTCCCACTGGGGGGTTCGGTGGAGCTCCCTGTGGGGCCACGAAACGCTGCACTGGCTAAGTGAAAATGCCAAATTGGGCTTCCGGGACGCATGCGGACGGTCCCACTGGAGGTTTCAGTGGAACTCCCTATGGGCCACGAAGCGTTGTAATGGGCAGGGGAAAATGCCAAATTTGGTTTCCGGGACGCATGCGGGCGGTCCCACTGGGGGCTTCGGTGGAGCTCACTAAACGGGCCACGAAACGCTGTATTGGGTGGGTAAAACTAAAAAACACGTTGGATTTTCGGGACGCATGCGGACGGGCACTGGGGCCTTCGGTGGAGTACCCTGTGGGGCCACGAAATTCTAGACTGGGTGGGTGCAAATGCCACAATGGGTGTTTCGGGACGCTTGCGGACGGTCCCATTGGGGCCTTCGACGGAGCTCCTTGTGGGGCCGCGAAACGCTGCACTGGGTGGGTGAAGTGCCACAATGGGTGTGCGGGGCGCATACGGACGGTGGCACTGGGGCCTTCGGTGGAGCTCCCTGTGAGGCCACGAAACTGTACTGAGTGGGGGGGGCGCATTTGGACGGTAGCACTGTGAGCTTCGGTGGGGCTCCCTATGGGGCCACGAAACGCCGTACTGGGTGTCCAGGACGCAGAAGGAATTCCCTATAGGGCCACGAAACGCTGCACTGGGTGGGTGTAACGCAGGGACCAAGGGCTGTGCTGGGTGGTGGCGGACGCATGCGGGCGGTGCCACTGGGACCTTCGGTGGAGCCCCCGTATCGGGCCACGAAGCGCTGTACTGGGTGGGTGAAACGAAGGGAGGAAGGGCTGTGCTGGGTGGTGGCGGACGCATGCGGGCGGTGCCACTGGGACCTTCGGCGCAGCCCTCTATGGGGCCACGCAACGCTGTACTGGGTGGGTGAAACGCAGGGAGCAAGGGCTGTGCCGGGTGGTGGCGGACGCATGCGGGCGGTGCCACCGGGACCTTCGGCGCAGCCCTCTATGGGGCCACGAAACGCTGTACTGGGTGGGGTGAAACGCAGGGAGCAAGGGCTCTGCTGGGTGGTGGCGGCCGCATGCGGGCGGTGCCACTGGGACCTTCGGCGCAGCCCTCTATGGGGCCACGAAACGCTGTTCTGGATGGGTGAAACGGCAAGGGCTCTGCTGGGTGGTGGCGGACGCAAGCGGGCGGTGCCACTGGGACCTTCGGCGCAGTCCTCCATGGGGCCACGAAATTTTGTACTGGGTGGGTGAAACGCAAGGAGCAAGGGCTGTGCTAGGTGGTGGCGGACGCATGCGGGCGGTGCCACTGGGACCTTCGGTGGAGCCCCCTCTGGGGCCACAAAACGCTGTACTGGGTGGGTTAAACGCAAGGAGCAAGGGCTGTGCTGGGTGGTGGCGGACAGATGCGGGCGGTGCCACTGGGACCTTCCGTGGAGCTCCCTATGGGGCCACGAAGCGCTGTACTGGATTGGTGGAAAGCATGGAGCAAAGGCTGTGTTGGGTGGTGGCGGACGCACGCGGGCGGTCCAACTGGGGACTTCGGTGGGGTTCCTTATGGGGCAACGAAACGTTGTGCTGGGTGGGTGAAACGCATGGAAGAGGGAGGAGGGAGGAGGAGGGGGAGGAGGAGAAGAGGAGAAGAGGAGAAGAGGAACGCGGGGACCGACTCTTCAAAACGAGGACCCAACACCACAGGATGGTTGGGACAAATCACGACGGGAGGTTTTTCTGTATTTTCGGCCCTCAGGCCATGCTGCTCCCATCGCACTTAAGGACCACATCCCAAAATTATCCTGGCGAAGGGCCCAACCATATGCAGTTGTGGGTATCGCGATTGTGAAAATCTTCTTCGGTGAAACTCCCTATGGGGCCACGAAGCGCTGCACTGGGTGGAGGGGAACGCTGTTCTGGGTGAGTGGTGTGTCAAGTGAGGTTTCCGGGACGCATGCGGACGGTCCCACTGGGGGCTTCGGTGGAGCTCCCTATGGGGCCACGAAGCGCTGTACTGGGCAAGTGAAAATGCTAATTGGGCTTCCGGGACGCATGCGGACGGTCCCACTGGAGGCTTCGAACTCTTCATGGGGCCACGAAACGCTGAAACGGGTGAGCGAAAATACCAAATTGGGCTTCCGGGACGCATGCGGACGGTCCCACTGGGGACTTCGGTGGAGCTAACTAAAGGGCCACGAAACGCTGTATTGTGCGGGCAAAAATGCCACGTTGGGTTTTCGGGACGCATGCGGACGGTGCCATATTTTCCGATATTTTCTGGGGAATCGCCGATTAATTGTGTCTGTGTGTTTTTTCTCCTCCTGAGTCCTGAAGACCTGGAGAAACAGCGGGGCCCAAAAGCTCTCCTTCTGCGGCCGGCGCGCCTGCGGGGCCCTTTTCCCGCAGAGACGCTCTGACACGGGCCGGGAGGCCTCTGACACAACAGCCAGCCTCGTCCCAGCCCCGCCCGAAAATGCGAGGCGGGAATTTATCCACATCCACCGCCTGGGAACCGACGTCCTGGTGCCCCACAGGCGGTGGATATGGACCTATCCTGGCCCCCGGGGGCCCGCACATGTCCATCTCCACCGCCTGCCGAGGCTTCGAAAACTGACCCTCCAGGCGGTGGTCATGTATATAGGGGAACAACAAGTGACCTAAACATAAAAACTCGGAGGTCCGCGCGGCTTTCTCGGATCGGCGCTGGACCCCCCTCCCTGGCGCGCGGAGCGCGCCAGGGGCGCCGCCGGAGGCGCCGCCGGGGGGCCCCGGCGCGGATCCGAGGAATCCGCGCGGACCTCCGAGTTGTTTTCTGTTTACGCCACTTGTTGTTCCCCTGTGCCACTTTTTGTTCCCCTGTGTCTTTCGTTCCCCTGTGTTCGACCGGAAGAGGTGCGCTCTCGACCCGCGAATCAAAAAAAAATGTGTAGGCTCCTGCCTCGGAGAGGGCACCCGGGCCACCCAGCGCCGCGCACGGCGCGCCGCCGCGGTGCGCGGCGCGCGGCCCTGCCGCGCCCACCGCGGGAGACCGCCCCGGAGAGGGTGAGGGCCGCGAATCGCGCACAGCGCCAAGAGGGTGCCTTCGCGCCCCTAGAGGCCTCCTAGATGGGGTCCGAGTAGATGGGGTCGGAGGATCTCACCGCATCGCCGATACATCGGCGATGCACTGGCGACGTCGGCGATGCATCGGCGTCGTCGGCGTGGAGAAACACGCGCCCCGCTTCGAGCCGTATCGCCGATGCATCGGCGATACAGCACGATCCTCCGACCCCACCTACTCCGACCCCATCTAGGAGGTCTAGAGCCCCTGCGGCTGACCCAGACTTCAGACCCGGGCATGTCCCCCTGCAGGCGGAAGCTCGCAGAGCAGTTCCAAGAGCAGCAGGAAGCCCAAACATGGCCTAAAAAAATCGGAGCAGAGTCCACAGGCCATGCTTTGGAACAGGTTGTGGGTATTCCTCCTGTAGAGGGACGTGACATGCCCGACTTAACCCATGATTTCGAGGGTCGAGGTCTGTCATCGGCCTCGATATCCAGGGACCCGTGCCAGGCGACAGGGCCGTCGGAAAGCGATGCCGAACCAGAAACCTGCCAGAGTGGACCCCAGGGCGAGAGCCAGGGACCGAGTTGGACCCGACTTTTTGGGGCGTGGGCAGACACACTGCTGCGGCGGGCTCCCGTCGCGACGACGCACCGCCCTGGTCCCCAACACCGCGTGGAACGCTCCTCCTTGAGCGCTCGCGGCTCTCCGGTCGTGCTCGACATCGGCAGACTCAAGGTCCCAGAAGGCGTTCAGCCTGCCTGGAACGCCCGTTCTGGGGTCGCCGCCGCGTCGACATGACACGAACCTTCCAAGCCGATACGCGCCCCAGGAGAGGCCCGGGGAGCGGCGGCGTGGGCATCTTTCTGTCTCCCCCCCCCCCGTCCTGGTGACGTTGTCGACGACCTGGCCCCGGCCGGCGAAAGGCGGAGAGGTCGTCGTCGTTGTCGGCGTCATGGGCGGAGAAGACGCGTGGTTCTTTTGCACGGCGGCCATCGCTGCGCCGCATATGGGTGACGACGGTGGGTCTGGAGTATGTGACCCCGGGGGGCAGTTTTCCCCGGACGAGCGGCGGATGGCGAACGTCTGCTGCACAATATTGTTCGGTGGCAACCAATGGGAGCCTCCCATGCCATCTTGTCGGCTCTTGCGAATCGACGCTTATCGACGCTAAATCGACGCAACGACTACCAAAGAACAAGCCAATCCAAGCGTGCACGATCAAGCTCCATTAATGACCACGCAGTCAACACATGAGGAAGCGGAGCCACCAAGGAGTGGCGCAGCGAGGGGCTGCCACACACAACCAATCGGTAACAAGAGATCACAGGATGCAAGAAGTGGAGAAAAACACGGGCGGGAAGGGGGGAGGCGCGCTACCGCCGAACGTCGCTGTCGACTACGCCACTGGCGGGCAAGAGACTGAGAGGAAGACGAGGAGCAGGAAAGGGTGGGAACAGGGAGGTGGCAGATGTAGAAGGGGCCGGAGGAGGGAAGAGGGGAGCAAAGAAGGACAGGATAATGGAGGGAGAGGAGGGAGCGAGCAGGAGGAGCATTGAAGAGGGACGCATGAGCGAGGGAGGATGGAGGCGAATGAAGGCATGGGAGGAGGAAGGAAGAGGGAGGGAGGTGGAAAGGCTATGGGAAGAGTATACGAGGCAGGAAAAGCGCTCGATCCTTTCTCAACCGCAGCCTCTGCTGATCTCTGTCTCCCAGCCCCCCCGGCATCCTCCACTTTTTGATTCTTCTCATTCTCATCCAAGTCCTGTTCATTCTTATCATACACCCTCTTCCTCTGCCGCTTTGCCACTAATGATTGCTCGCTGTTGCATCTCGATCCCGCGCGGGTCGGCACAATGTGTTACTAACATGGCTAGTTTGCGTTTGATGTGTTTTTTCCGCGCAAGCTGGGTCGGCGCGAAATCCTGGATGAACGACTCGTCGCTGGAGTGAGGCAGTACTACGCGATAGTGCACCCCAGAGTATATGGCAAGTACACGGTACAATCTGAGTGGGCACACGAGGAGCACGTCAAGGAAAGTCGCGCGCACGAGGAGGACACCCTGCTTGTATGTGCACACCCATGGTAGCATTGTTGAGACATGGCACCCCAAGTTCGCGTTGAATTCGTGTTAATTAGTAATGTTTGGTGACGCCTGGGTGCCTCAATCGGTTCGCCCTCGTCATGGCGAGTTGGTTATCCCATGTGTTTGATGATGCGTGCCCAGCGTTTGGCTGTCAACGCGCTGAACCTTCCTGCCGAAACGTTGATCTGTACCGTGACGTGCGATACATATGCAATTCGCCCCTCATGGCTCCAGCGCTGCGTTCGTGCAGAGCTTACACCAGCGTGGCCCGACAAATGAACGACCATAGGGAGGGAGCTTCTGTCTCCTGGCCGCCGAAAAATGCTTCGTACTTTTCGCGGGGACGCCGCAATGTGACGGACGGGGCAGGGAATGCCACTGGGGCGGCTCCCCGAAACCTCGAGTAAACCCACTGGGTGAGGAGCGGGCAAGACCGCGCCGCGCCGCAAGGTGAGCCCCGGTGGCGGTTTCAATCGGCCCCACAACTCACCAAATGCCCCGACAATCTCGGCGACGAATACATCCGCGCCTCCGTCCGCCCCTCCCCCCTGGCCACGCCCCCGCCGTCAAGATGTGCGTGGCCCGCTTCTTGTGGTCCGACTCCGCCGCTCCCCGATCTGGCCCCAGCACCTCCTGCACAAGCACCTCGCGGGAGCTTCCACCCCGCCACGGCGGACCCGCATCCTCCTCCTCCTCCTCGTTTTTGTTTCCTCCTCCTCCTCTTCCTCAACCTCCTCCTCGCCCTCCTGCCCACCATCACCCGCAACAGCGGTCGTCATCATCATCATCACCATCAGCAGCATCATCATCATCCTTCATCATCAGAATAATCATCATACTCATCATCGTCATGATCATTATGTGTCATCATCATCATTACCCGCATCATCATCACCGTCCATCATGACCGTCATCATCACCAGCATCACTACCACCACCCTCCTCCCCCTGAAAGATAAACTAGGACTGTTTGCTTAGGAAGCACTCGCACTTGAGCCAAACAGTTGCGGACCACCACTAACATGCATCCTTGAAATTCCTGAGTTGCGTTGCTCACCCAATCGCATGGCCATGTTCTAACCCCCTTTTTCGGGTATGTTTGGCCGAATGCGGCGACGGGTGCGGAACTTACATTAAGCGAATTGGATAATAGTGACTTGATAATAAGCAAATGAAAGAGTTTTTTATACGGACAAGACTTCGACGGCGAAATCAAACGTTATAAGACGCAGCGTGGCGACTGTTAATACGCACAGCAATGGTAGACACTACTGACGCAGGCAGAAGGCGATTATGATGTGGGCGTAATTGTGCAGGGCCTTCCAAACACGCGAGACCAGATTTGTTAATGTCGCGACGCACCAATTTCTGCAGAATGCTTAAAACTGCCTGGGGCAGTGTGAACGGGCATCTGGATCTCAACTGGTCCAGAGTTCAAGTCTACCAACCAAACGGCACACAACAATAACTTTATCACTGGTTAACATATGGTGGCAAGTGCAAGCTCGTGTTTTCCACTTACGATGCGTTGGCTTTTACCTCGCACGTGCATTGACATGTCGTATCTGCTGTCACACTTGGCCAGGAGGATCTGCAATATTCCCATGAGTGCCTACTTTGGTCAACTAGATGTCCCCTCGTCTGACCTTCTCTTGTAGCGGAAGCAGAACCACCTCAGCGTGTCGGACTTTCCTATTTTCCACCGGCTTGCGATGGCAATGGCCGCGCTGGCACCGCTCTGGATAACGATACCACCACCAACATCAACATCTTCGATACCCGCTTCGTGATCCTAAGAAGTCCGCCTTTCACGATTGCATGATACTCCACTTCTCCCGAAGATATTGCCACAACGCTTGGAGCGAACTCCACAACTGTATCCAATTTTATCCCCACATAACTGCTCCTCCACGTTATGGATGCCCGAATTCTATTGCCTCCAGCGCAGCCCGTCTAGGTCCACACCGTTAACTCCTGAGGGCGTTCCTGACACAAGCAATGGATCGGGGCTCACGCAGGGCGCGCAACCTCCTGAACTGCAAACTGTAACTCCCAACTTTGCTCGAGCCACGACCGCGATTGCATTTCTGAACTTCATGGTTTCGTAGTGGCTCCTCGTCTTCTTCTTCGTCAACACAAGCTGTTTTCACCTGGCATATCCCATCTCACACTGTATGGGTCCAAGCCCGAATTTTTCAACGGATAGAATATCTGTGCATGTTTCCGATCCACTTCATACCATAACCCATCCAATCTCCAGCCCACAATTCGGTTAACGATCATGATTGCCTTCAACTATTGTGCTCCAGGCCGGAATCAGCTCCGAATTTGGACTTCGAATGCATGTTGGTTCTCTCACTCGAACCTCTCAAGATCCATGTCATCACCCAACAAGTGAAATCGTGTCCGCAAGCTGCTCGCCAGATTTGCCGTGCCACATGCCAAAACTCACATGGGGATGATTTCCCGCTGTCGAAGCCTATGCCCTGTGCAAAATCCATGTGGCAATCTCCCTCATTGCTGGCGGCATCCCCAATTCCGTACAGTGAATTCCCTACACTTCCACACATGCCTGGTCCACGATCTTCTTCGGGCAACCTGATAAAGTTGCTCTTCTTGGCCGTGGCATAACAATTTACCCTTTGAACATCTACTAATCGCAGTTTGACTCACTGCGCACGCCCCCTCTCGGTTGTGTCCCATTTATTCGGAAACTGCCAAGGAGAGAAGCTGTTTCTGAGCTTCTAGTGGAACGGTAGCTGCATATATGTCCTTTCGTTTGAACGTGTACTTACCGTGCTGGGCTACGTACCGGGATCTGCACTCAGAATTGGCAGTGTCGCTACTGGGCCTTCCTTGGCCGTCACAGCACAACATCCCTCCCCCTGTACTTTCTCACAGACCTCGTGCTTCATGAATTGCCCCATCTCGTCCTCCCAAGCTTTTATTCAGAGTTCTGGATCAAGTCCACTCCCTAATACATCGCTCCAAGCGCACACTTGCTCATGTTGTCGATGAAGTACACATATGTCACCTCTGGTCACGGGTCGCAAATCAACAATGCCCCAGCACGCCGCGCGCGCCGCAGGAATTTTCAACCACCCCTGGAGTCGCCGCTCTCCACAAATGCACTGGTCAGGTTGGATGTATCGGGTAACGCGATAAATTAAGTCAGTGGTTGTGTCACGCGCGCCTCCTCTGAATTCTCTAACCCGCTCGGTTCCTTTAATCTCACTAATCGCCCTGCCCTCGAACACCTGACAAATGTCCAAGTCCTGAGTAGCACTGCGTAGGCATGCACTCCATGTTGGCCCTGCATGTCCTGGATGCGCGAGACGTGATGTGCCATGATCCGTCCTGGTCCAGGCTGACAGGGCACGTTTCCATACTCATTTGGTTCGTACCAGATCCTATTGCTTCCCATGATTTCGTCCGATTCGATCTGGTTGACCCCAAGATTACAAGACTGAAATGAGGAAACTAATCGGTCTGCAGCCGTCTTCTGATAAACTAAGCCTTGCACTATAGCTCGACAGAATCGGTCCGATATACCTCTGGTATCCACGTTCTGCCTGCTCCGATGAAAGTCGGTGCGTTTATGCTGACATTACCATTTCGCTCTGGGGGACATTATGTCGATGTTGGGGCCGTTCTTCATGAACCGCGCGGGTTCGTTCGCGAGCATACCCTCGCCTTTTGACCGCCTGCTTTGAGTCATAGCAACACGCATCGCCATCATATGTCAGCACACCTTCGCGCTTCAACAGTATCGGCATTGGCGACGCGGTCCAACTTGGCTGACCCGCTGGACACGCGGAAAATGCCGTTCCCAATGGCTTGTCCGCCCAAGATCATCCCAAGATGCATCCAAGATGCCCAAGACGGCCTCCAGCATGGTCCAAAGACGCATCACGAACAGCTAATATTGCCCCCAGAGAGCCCCAAATGGCTACAAGTCGGCCCAAGATGACTCCAAGACGACCCAAGTTGCCCTCCAGACGGCCCAAGAGGCCCAAGACGCCCCAAGAGGACTCGAAGAGGACCTCCAGGAGGCCACATTGATTCCCCTTACGCGTGTGGTTAAATGGTTTTCGCATGCTCGCCTTCTTGGGCTTCCGACAACCAAAGACAGCCCTCGAGGCCTGCAAGATAGCCCCAAGACGGCCCAAAAGAGCCCCAAGACGAACCAAGAGGGTCCCAAGACTGCCCCAAGAGGTTCCCCATGAGCGGCCCGCAAGAAACTCCAGATGACTCTCAGAAGTCTTCTGAAGGCCCCCAAAGAAGCCTACCGCTCCTCCTCCTCCTCCTCCTCCTTCTCCTCCTCCCTCTCCTGCTCGTTCGCTCTACCGACGCGTCTGGTGGTGCGACGAGGACGCATTGGATTGGTCACCCGCCTGCTAGGACGAGCTCGTCTTAAGTTTGATGTTGGGGAGATGTGTGAAGCACTCGAAGGTTGCGACGGTTGGCCGGCCATGACCAGCGAGAGGTGTTTGCGAGCCTGTGCATCCGGGCCAGACGGTGCGAGAAGGTCTTGCCTGCAAGAAAGAGGGACGGAAGGGGGAGCGCACAAGACAAGCGAGAAAGAGAGAGAGCCACAACCTGCGACTTGCCCTGAGCAAGCGCCCAATCTCGGTGCTGTGTCTGGAATTCCTGGAGGGAACCGCCAAGCCTGTGTACGGTGAGCGCTGTATGCGTGCACGGAACGCCGGAAAGCAGCCGAGGCGAAAGAGAGCAGTCATCAAACTGAACAGCAAGGAGAAGATACGATGGGGAACAATTGTATACGGTAGGTTCGTGCGGCGTCGACGCGCGCAGAAGTTTCTGACACCGCGTCGATCGTTCAACCTTGAACTGATCGCGGCCCCGACCGTTCACGGTTGAATTCCGCAGGGTCCAGTGGCGTCAATGGCTCCCTCAGTTCGGGCGTTGGCAGAACTGGGTTTAGTGGAACCTGGTTTAGTGATTTGCACCGGGGGCGCCCCCCCCGTCCCTTCCCCACTCACCGGAACTGCCGCCACCCGAAAAACACCAGCTACGGCAAACCTGGTTTAGTGAATCTGGCCAATCGAGGGGCCCCAGGGCCCTACCACTAACTGGGTCCCCTTACCCGGGGTCCTGGCTATACCCGATCGGTGCTTCCGCGCCGCAAAATTCGACCCCGAACTCCTCCGCCGGCGTCGCCGGCACGCCAACGCCCGCACGGACCTACCGCACTCTTCAGGGCGGGCGGAAAGAGAGAGAATGATACATATATATATATATAGAGAGAGAGAGAGAGAGAGTTAAGTCGGGCCTGTCCCCCTACTGGGGGATTTTCGACGAAAAGTAAAACGTACCCCAAAAATAATCAAAACAAAATCCAAACATATCGGGGGACTATTTTTTGAGTATTGTTGACCATTGTGGGGTATTGCAGAATATTTGTTATTTCTCGTCGAAAATCTCCCTGTAGGGGGACAGGCCCGACTTAAGTATATATATATAGAGAGAGAGAGAGAGAGAGAGAGAGTCGGGGATGGACAGAACCCCCTTTAGTAAAACGTGGTTTGGTGAAAACGACCTCGGGCCCAAACCCGGCGGGCGCAAGCCTGGAAAATGCCGGCCGCGGAGAGCCCTCTCGAGATCCGAGAACGGACAATTCACTG